GAAGAGGCTGATGTGGTCCGTGGCAAGCCTTGAGCCAATCCTCAGACCCAGCTTGAGTTCACCCTGGTCTGCCGCCTCCCCCAGATCCCTCCTGCAGCTCCAGCCCCACCTCTGCCCAGCAGGCTCCTCCCCACCCAGCTGGAGTCTGAAATCCCCTGTCAGCACATGCCAGGCACATTCCTGGGTGCCTCCCTAGTCCCCAGGACCTCAAGGGCCCCCAGGGTGGAGGTGGGGAGCCCAGTCTCCCCCCTCCTCAGGCCTATCTCCAAGCTCAGCTTGAGGACTAGCAAACCTGGGCCTCTGCGGGCAAGAGGGGCCTCCCCTGGTCCTCTCAACCCAAATGTAAGACACTTGGCAAGTCCCTCCCTTCCCTCAGTGATGGAGGACAGCGCTTCAGGAGCGTGTGCAAGGCTGGGTGTGAAACTGGAAGGGTACAGGCAGCTACCAGTGTGTGTGAGAGCAGGTGTAAGCTGTAAACGCTCACATCTGTCATCCTTAGCTACTCAGGAGGCTGAGATCTGAGGATCAGGGTTCAAAGCCAGCCTGGCCAGGAAGGTCTGTGAGACCCACATCTCCAATGAAGCACAGTCAATCAATCAATCAATCAATCAAGTTGTGGCTCAACAGGTAGAGCACCAGCTTTAAGCAAATAAGCTAAGGGACAATGCCAATGCCTGAGCCCTGAGTTCAAGTCCCAGCACCAACACAAAAACTAACACAATTTCTACAAAGAGGCTTGGCATGAGTGCCCATAGGAGGCAGGCACTGGGAGGATCAAAGTTTTTGAGGCCAAAAGTTGATGAGATCCCATCTTAATACAGTCAGCAGGGTGGCACCCACCTATAATCCAAGCTACTTGAGCAGTATAGGTAGGAGGCTCTACTATCCAGTCTGGCCCTGCCCAACAAAGAACTAAAGTAATCAGGGCTGGAGGCATGGCTTAGGTGATACAATATTGCCTTGCAAGCCTGTGGCCCTGAGTCCAAATGCCAGAACTGCAAAGCCAAGGGAAGGAAGGAAGGAAGAGAGGGAGGGAGGGAGGGAGGGAGGGAGGGAGGGAGGAGGAAGGAAAAGCGGAATAGTTGGAGTGTGTACGAGAGTCTTCAGTGAGAGGGTGCAGGTTATGAGACAGGCACAGTGTATAGGGGTGAAAAACAGGGCCCAAGCTCTCCAGCCCTCATGTGTATATAATGGTGAGTCCAGCATGGATGTCCATTAGTAAAAGCCTCTCTCATTGTTTCTACCATCTTCCATTCTTATATGTCTGTCCCCTTTCCATCTACCCAGCATCAACCAACCTGACTTAGCTTTCTATACTTCTCCATCTCTTTTTGGCCTCTCTCACCTCTGTGCATTACATGTTTGAACCTCAGTCAGTCTTTTGCTAGTTCTCTCTCTCTTTCTCCCTCTCTCTCTCTCTCTCCCTCTCTCTCTCTCTCTGTCAATCATGGGCTTGAGTCCTGGGCCTGGGCACTGTCCCTGAGCTCTTCATCTCAAGGCTAGTGCTCTACCACTTGAGCCACAGCACCACTGCTAGTTTTCTGGTGGTTCATTGGAGATAAGAGTCTCACAGACTTTTCTGCCCAGGCTGGCTTTGAACCACAATCCTCAGAGCTCAGTCTCCTGAGTACTAGGATGACAGGCATGAGCCACCTCTCCCTCTTTGTACATATATCTGTGTTCTTTCTTAAAAGTTTTTATTTATTTATTGGCCAGTCCTGAGGCTTGAACTCTGCCCCCGAGCTTCTTTTGCTCAAGGCTACCATTTGAACCACAACACCACTTCTGGTTTGGTTTTGTTTTTATTTTATTATTTTAATTTATTAGAGATAAGAGTCTCACCAACTTTCCTGCCTGGGCCGGCTTCAAAGCGTGAGTAGCTAGGATTACAGGTGTGAGCCATCAGCATCCAGCTGCTTTTCAATTTTTTGGGGTCTCTTTTCATTTCTCTCACTCCTGCTACCCCACCGTTTGTCTCTCATATACCCGGAGATCAATAAATATTCATTTCTCAGTCATCCTCTGCCTGTGCCTTTTTCTCATTAGTTTCTCTAGCTCTGAATCCTGACTCTGATCCCTGAATTTTAGAACCATATGCTGGCTGGCCTCCTCATCCCAGTGTGTGTACATGCACACACACACACACACACACACACACACACACATTCACATGGGATAAGCTCTTTGGGCCTGCTTATCTCCTGTGGGACTTGCACCTGTTCATTTGCTCCCCCTTTCCTGCTATCCCCCCACCTGGTCTTTCTCCCTCAAAGTCCATTATTAACTTCTTAGCCCCCCCCCACATATTTCCTTTCCCAAATGTTCTGCCCAACCCTTGGGAAATGGGCGGAATACAGACCTAGGGAAAGGGGGTGTTTGTCATGGGGCCTGAACCAGATGGTGTCTCTGGGGAACAGGGTGTAAAGCTGCGGTTGCTGAGACCTTTAATTAGCACAAACCTGTTCCCTACCTTGGCTGTTTTCCTTCTCAGCATGCTCCTGGGACCACAGGCTCTCTCTTTCTCTCTCTCTCTTTTTCCATACCCCTGGCCCCAGAGAGCGGGAAGGGGAAGTCTGTCAGATATCTGGAAAAACAACTCCATCACCTGACTTCCTCCCCCAAACCCAGGAGTCTTAAACCCATGGCCATCCTATTTATTTATTTATTTTCAGTCATGGGGCTTGAACTCAGGGCCTGGGCGCTGTCCCTGAACTTTTTCACTCAAGGCTAGTACTCTACTACTCTGAGTCATAGACCACTTCTGATTTTCTGGGGAGTAATTAGAGATAAAGAGTCTTTCTTTCTTTCTTTTTTTTTCCTGCTGTTCCTGGGGCGTGGGCATGGTCCCTGAGCTTCTGTTGCTCAAAGCCAGCACTCTGTCACTTGAACCACAGCTCCCTTTCTGGCTTTTTCTGTGTATGTGGTACTGAGGAATTGAACACAGGCTTCATGCATGTGAGGCAAGCACTCTACCACTAAACTAGATTCCCAGCCCCTAGCCCTTCTCTTTAGAGACCCAGATCTTGAGCTGGGCGCCAGTGGCTCACACCTGTCATCCTAGATACTCAGGAGACTGAGATCTGAGGATTGCAATTCAAAGCCAACCCCAGTCAGGAAAATCCATGAGACTGTTATGTCCAATTAACCACACAATACACACACACACACACACACACACACGCACAGCCAGAAGTAGAGGTATGACTCAGGTGGTAGAAGGTCAGTTTTGATGGAAAAGCCCAAGAGAGAGTAACCAGGCCCTGAGTTCAAGCCCCTGAATAGCAGCACACACAGAAGAAGAAGAAGGAGAAGGAGAAGGAGGAGGAGGAGGAGGAGGGGGGAGAAAGAGAGAGAGAGAGAGAGACCCAGATCTCCAATCCTCTCCCTTCCTCCCACTGGATTTAGGGCAGATGTTCACTGTTTGTTGATTTTTCAAATCCTCCTGGGCCTGTGTGGGGGTGGGAGGGAGATTGGTGGTTAAATCCACTAATACTTAAGACTAGATTTTCTAACCCTTTTCCAACTGGACTAGAGGCAGCCCTTCCAGGCACCCAGACTTGAGGTGATCACAGCCAGCAGAGATCTCTCTGAACCTCCAGTATTTCACAATCCTGGAAAGCCAATCCTCTGAGAATTAGGGATGCACAAGTCTGAACCCAAGAACTACTAAGAGTCTTGAGTGTGGACCCACAATCCTTACAGGTCCAGGAATGTCAGACCGAGGGTCCCAACTCCCTATCCCCACCGCCCCTTTTCAAGAAACTCAGCATCCCTCCCACCTGCTTGGCCAGCTGCTGTTGCTGCTGCTGTGGGGGAACCACCCCGGCTGGAGCCGTCAGAACAAGCTGCCCGGTTCCCAGCCTCCCGGCCTGAGCCCTGAACTCCAATGCTGCCGCCTCCCAGCCGTCGCCGGGCAACCATGGGATGGGACGAGGGGCCCCAGCCGGCAGAATGGGGAGAGGGGCTGAGGGGGTCTTGGGAAAGGGAAAGACTGGGGCTGGGGGCTGGGAAGGGGCCTGGATTCGTAGATCTTAGGACATGGTCGAGCAAAAAACAGAAAGAAAGAAAGAAAGAAAGAAAGAAAGAAAGAAAGAAAGAAAGAAAGAAAGAAAGAAAGAAAGAAAGAAAGAAAGAAAGAAATTAGCTGTAGGGAGCTGAGTCCCTTTTTTTCTTTTTAGGGCTCTTAGCTGATGGCTGGGGTTACTCAGATGCCCTCTCCCCGACCCTGCCAGACCCGGGGGAGTGCTGGGCCCCGCCTCCCCAGGGCAAGGAAGCTGGTGAGGCCCCAAGGACTCCCATTTATAGCTTAGTTTCCACTCAGTGCCAATCCCTCCAGGACCTGAGCTGAGCAAGTTTCTTCCACTCTCTTTCCTCCTCCTCCGCCTCCTCCTCCATCTCCTCCTTTTCTTCTTCTTCTTCTTCTTCTTCTTCCTCCTCCTCCTCCTCCTTCTCCTCCCTTATCTCTTCCTCATCTCTTCTTCTCCTTCATCTATTTTCTTCTCCTTCTCCCCCCCCCCGCCCCAGCAGGGTGCAGGTGTCCAACCCAGACTAGACCCGCCCCACACCCCCTCTCTAGACCCAGGTGTTGCAACTCCCACACCCCCAATTGGGTTGAGGGGGCGCGCCCGCTGCGAAGACCCAGGGCCTTTGTGGCCCTCATTCATTCGGGCCGTGGGAGTTTCTCAATGGGAAAGGGGCGTGTCTTGCGGGAAGCGGGGCGTGTCCCGAGCTGTTGGTGGGCGTGGCTATTATAATCAGACCACGCCTGGCTCCCCTAGCCAACCTGCTAGAGTTTCAGAGCATCACAGGAGCTGCAGAGAAGCAGACTCGGAGGACTTCAAGCCACAGACAAGGGGTGCTTCCAGGACTGAAGAGTGGGGGGGGCGTAATGAAAGGGGTTTCTGCTCTCACGTGGTGAGCAGTGTGCTGCCAAGAGCAGCTGGAGAGAAGCCAGAACCACCGCAGAGTTTGGGAACCTTGGGGGTTCCCACACATTCAGGATGCTGATCCCTGTCTTCCTTGTCCTTCTCTTCTGCTTCCAGGGGCACACAGGTACCTGAGGGGGATGTGGGGGGGGCGGTTGATGGCTAGTTACCGCTTTACTGGGGAAAAGGAGATTGGGAGGGCTTGGATAGGAACTCCAGAAGCCTTGAGTTTCTGGGGTCCTGAATGAGGGATTTCTCAGCTCTGCTCTTCTCTCCCCGACCCTTTATTCTCCTAGGCCCTGCTCCCCATTTCGTGCAACAGCCGGAGGACCTGGTGGTGGTGTTGGGAGAGGAAGCCCGGCTGCCCTGTGCCCTGGGCGCATACAGGGGGCTTGTTCAGTGGACTAAGGATGGGCTGGCTCTTGGGGGTGAAAGGGATCTTCCAGGTGAGGTTACCTACCCGCCCCCCCACCCCCGCGGCTCCCCAGCGGAGGGGCTGGGCACTGGAATGGGGCTGCTAACTGTCCTGTCTCTGAAGTTTCTCTGGGCGACATTTTCAACTTCTGAGAATTGGTGGATGGAGAAACTTTGAAAGTGATGCCATTTGAGGATTATTACTTTTATTGTAAAATAGTCTCTGACTGCCTAAAGCATAGTAAACATACAAGTGGACAAAGTAATTATAAAGTAGAGCGCTAGGTGGTTGGTGGGGCTTGCTCCTGTAATCCTAGCTACTCAGGAGGCTGAGATCTGAGGGTAGAGATGGGAAGTCAGCCAGGGCAGAAAAATCCATTAGACTCTTCTCTCTAATTAACCAGCAAATTGCCAGAAGTGGAAGTATGGCTCAAGTGGTAGAGCCATGAGAAAATGAAGCCCCAAGTTCAAGCTTCAGTACTTGGCACAAAAAGAACAAAGTAACCAATACTCAGGTCATTGTTAACTTTCCAGAATCCTCAGTTGTCTCCATTCCACCCCTAACCTCATAACCAGGAGGTTAGTATCTAACCTATGTTTATGACAGTCATTTTCTTATTATCCTTTCTGACTTTATCAACCCAAGTTTGTAATGATTCTATATTGAGAGGGGGTTAGAGTCTCTTTGGACCTGGCATACGCTTCATAATGGTGTCTTATTATAGAATGAATGAATGGGCCAGTTTTCTAGTTCTGGATGTCAGGAATGAAGACTGGAAGCCAGGAACTCACAGCCATGTTGTGACTTCTTTTCCTTGGCTCTAG